GGCTACTAGCTTAAACAATAGTTCTATCAACACAAAACTAATATAAGAAGAGTATACTAAATTTAAAAATATATACCCAGGATGAATCAAAGATAATATCATCTTTAATGATAGGCTTGGCAACTTCTGGCTTACAAAAAACCTTATTTTGTTTATGATCGCACTTTTGTTTTTTATTTCTATTTGCATGAGCATGGCGAGATAATTTTTTCCTGATAATTGGAATCTCTTGTGATGCGATGCCCTCTCCCTTTCGCTTATTATTTAGTGTTTGCATTGTAATTAGCTGTCTTGATAACAATATAAGTATTTTTATTGCACGAAATAAGAAATATAAAGAATAAAAATATCAACTAAATCGAACTCTATATTGAAAGTCAATCCTATTTATTAGAGAATTTATACTAAAAACTATAGTATAATTGTATAGTTGGTATTGAATTTAAGACAATCGTGTGTCGTTATAATAATTTAACATAGTTCAAACAATCACATGTCATAATAATTTAACATGATAATTCAGTAATTGTTAACAAACAATTAAAATGAATACTAAATTCGGCATTACAATTATAGAACACGACCAACAATCGCACATTTTCTATATTTGGGATTATTGTGCATTGTAAAAATAATCTACTGAGAGGCGCATTTGGCTATATGAGGTATAGTAATAATTTTACATGCTATATATTTACAAATTTATATACACTTCATTATTTATGTACTATGTTGATCAAACATCTATCACGATTTTTTTTATCAAGACAAACAAATTATGAATAGTTTTGATTTCATGTCCCATGTGACCATTAAGTCATGTGCCTTTACAATTTTTTAGAATAACAAATTTATCTTTATGTTTAAGTAATAAAATTACGCAAAAAATTCTCAGATGCATATATATAGTAATTTATTTTTTTTTTTACTTCAAATAGGCAAGCGAAGTACAAAAGTTAAATGCTATATGTAGCATGAACACGTTACATAAAAATTTAGCCTCTACTATTCCTATTCTCCTTACCCCAAAGAACAACAGAACACCTATTATTATCTTCTTCACAAAAAGATAACCTTACAGGAGAAGTGGATTGGCTTCTTCGATTAGAGAATGATGACTCTCGACTTAGTGATGATATTGTTTCCTTATAAGATAATAGTGGGAAACAACTTCGTCTAATTTCTTGCCGTTTTTGATCAAATTGAGATACTAAACATAATATGTATTTGTAAAGTTATTAAAAAAAGAAGCGATACTCTTGCACAAAAGATAAATCAACTTACTAGGTTTTTTTCAAAAATGGGTTTGGAATTCCTCAAAATAATGCTCTCCAGTTCAGCTTTTCCGTCCTTCACAATTTTCTGCCAAATATAAACACATCTTCTATTTTTTTTTAATAATTATCAGATGTTAATCCGTGCAGATCAAAAGCACCAAAAACAAATAAAAGTGGATGGGGTTCATATATGTAAGGCATAAGAGTCTCTGACTCATATTTACATTATAATCCTGGGTAAGAGTTAAAAATTTTTCTTTGCAGTGATACCCATTAAAGTTCGATCCATGTTGTTCATTAATTTTGATGGCGATGCTTTCCCAAAATCCATTTCTATATCTCCTACGAAGGTCATGATACTCCACGTTCCTATTTTTTCATTCATTAATTAGAAGCCAAGTTCGGATATCGTTCCAATCTTTAGACATTTTTAGAATTATAAGTAAAAGTCTATTAGAAGTAATGAAAAGTATTTTAAACAACTAAATATGCTTTTTATTTTATGGCAGGGACCACTACACATTCAGATACAAGGCATCATATATTCTATAATTGTTATGAATAAATTACCTAATTTTAACAGGTCATTAAATGTCATTTGCTTTTATACGAACTTACACACAATTCTAATTGCTCACGTAAATCGATGAATTGTTATCTTCCACTGATTAAACTGCAACATTCTGTGATCATTCCCCGATCGTGCATAAGAATTTAATAAAATTTCCATGATCGTTTCGTGATCGATCCCTCGATGTTACATAAATGTTACACAATAACCAAAAAATTCGTTATATACCCAAATTCCTTTCGTAAAATATAGAATAAAAAAGCATACTATTCAATGAGGCGTTAAGATTGGAAAACCAACCCGAGCTGATGTCCTACTCTAGAAGAATAGTATGCTTTTGTGTTGATCTTGAAAAGATAAATTAGAGCAATTTAGAAATATGCAATACATATACCACTTTTGTGGCTATGATACATGCAAATTAGAAATTTTACATAATTTTATGTAATTTTTATGTAAATAATGCTGGCCAAACTTTCATAGTGCTGGTAAATAATCATGTGTCAGAATGCTATGTAAAGTTACATTACTTAACTGCACACATTAAATTTATGCAATGTTACCTTACTACAGAATTACTTTCCCATGTCGATTTTGCCCTAACACTAATAAATATTTATGACTAGAAAGACCATTTTCTTATTATACAATATATGATTCCATAATAAGAAAAGGTGTGAATGGGATTTAAAAGAACTATAAGGATAATGAGTATAATGTTCTTTATCAGTAGTTTGGTCCAAATTCATATGTTGCAGGAACTTGGAATCTCTGCCATCTCTGAGATCATCAGATCTAAACCCACCTTAAGTGATCATCGAATCTAAGGGGTTTAATTTCACCAGAAAAAAGGCAAAATAGATTCAGTATTTGGAGCTTATAGCCGAGCGGAGTTGCTTTATAGAGAAAAAAAATAGCATTGGGTTTGGGTAACATAATTACTAATTCATGTATTTTTTTCTAGCCAGTCCTTAGATCTAAATAGTGATAATGAAAGGTATAAAATAAGCAGGTTCGCTTATAAGGTAAATTAGCAATAATGTTTTTTTGCTCATATAATTTATTCTGATAAAAAAAACATATCTGCAATTTATTTTTAAGGTATATGCTTATTATATAATACGTCTGTTTTTTGGGAATGATGCTTCACTAACTATGGTTGAGTTTTTATATTTAGTAACACAAAAATGGCTGATGAGTTTGATGTCAGGTTTAAATTCAATTCTGATTTAACTACTACGTACACTATAAAAATTAATTGGAGAGACGAAGTCAATAAGGTTAAGGATAAAATTAAGCATCAATTTAATATTACCACCAATAATTTTGAACTTTATCCGGAAAACCCTAGAGGTCATATACATTATATGCAACCAGGAAATAGGTTTCTTGAAAATTATACTCCTGATAATGTCGAAAATGCAGTTTTTATTATATATTTACCCGGAAATTAATTATTTTATTTGTATTTTTTTATTTATATTTTTTTTTATTATATAATAAAAATATTTTTTATTTGTATATTATGTTGTCGTCCTGGCAATATAATTTTTATAATAATAAAGGGAGGGGGTCCACTGGGCTCCCAATTTTTTATTTTTACGCGATTTTTTACAATGTAATTTGCGATTATTAATTAGTAGAGACTGTGTTTATTAATCTATGCTGTTGCGGGATTCCAGTATCGCGTGTTAATATTCAAAATCGGTGAAAATCTGTAGGTTATGCCGAAACCTGTTACCTTGTTAACGGGTTTTTTGTCAAGAAAAATTTTTATTAATACGTGAGAAAATAAATATAAAGATCAGGACATAGCCTGTGATACATAAAGGTTCTATTCTAAAACCTATTTATCTGACTTGGTCCCTTCGAGACCCTTCCCAGTAAGGTTGTTCAATGACCTATGCTTTTTTATTACCCTTTCTTCACTTCAAGAATCAGAATCCGACTTCTGCACCTCCTCCAACAACCATGCAATATGCCCGAGGACTCTTTCAACGTTTTCGCCCATATTCTTACTATCATATACAACAGTTACCGACTTTGATAGTCTGAACGCTAGCTTGTTCTGATCATCGAGTGAACACTCCATAAAATACCATTCTTTTGTGTCAGTGATGATTCCGAAAGTCTTACCCACAAACAGACTATCTTCTTCCATCTCGCTCGCCTTACATTTACGGTTTGATAAAGTGGATTCGAGTTGTACAGCATTCTGTGCAATACCTTTAAAAATATCTTCGTCCTTTACTTCTGTCACGTCAACCGTTTTCATGGTTTGGAGTAAATCAATTGCAAAATCAACTGGTCCATGTCCGTTGGGTCCTGTGATATTTTTTTCTGGTCGAAGCTCAAACTTCCCTTCATACAAATTCACCCCAGAAACAAGGTAGGAGCACACGTATTGCGATTTCGATGCTTCGTTTCCATTTATTGGAATGGACTTAAGACGAGCCTCCAGTTCAGCTATAAGATGATTAAGTATTGCTCGTGAAGAATCTTCTTCCAGGTCTTTATACTCGCAAGTAAAAGGCGGGAATACTGACAATGATGGGTCATCCGATTCACCGAGTCCGTAAAGCTGACATACCTTTGGAAATGACCAATCTGAGAAAGCTTTTGAGGGTGTTTCTATGAACATGGTAAACTTGAGATTGTTCTTTGATACGAATATGCGGAGCATCTCACGAAGGTCTTGATCATTATAAGGGAAGTATTTCTTTCCATAATTCATTAAGTTGAGTTCCGCCCCATTATTTTCAAGTGCGGGTGGTTGATACATCTTATGTATATAATCTTTGAGGCCAACAAGAGACGCTTTTTCGATATTTGTGGTCCACTTATTTGCCTTCCGTTTTGGGTGGACAACGACTTCGAACTCTACAATGCAATAATGATTAGAAAAATTCTCACGAAGTCTCTCTTCCCGCTATTTTATACATACCATGTGTGGACTTGTTGAATAATGTCTGTAACGAGACAAGTTGTTCCCTTAATTTCAACACCTCGTCCGAAATGGCAGTGGACTCTGGTGAAGAGACTAAGACATGAATATGCTTCTTAGGAGGTGAAGTAGGCCAGTAGTCTCCTATATCATTTATTGCCAACAGCTCGTCACTGTCCTCAAGTGAAAGATTCCGCAACTGATCGTGATCATCAAAGATTGGTACTTTCCATAGCTTGAGCTTGTCTGCATCTATATCAGCGAAGTTATTTTGCTTTTCGGCCTTGATAACCTTTTTGAGGTGACCAACAAGCTGGTCCTTATCAATATCGATGGGGAAAGCATTCACTAGAGTATTTCCTTTAACAAGGCAAAGCAAAGTGATAGACATTTTTTCGGCTTATATAGTATTTTTTGTGAAATGCTATTGGTGCAAACTAGCGTATGTGAGGACAAGAGCAAAAAAAGAGAAAAAACACTGAGGCAGAGTAAATTAACTGTCGCACAGTGTCTGTCGTGTGACCCCTTTATTTTGTATCACAAATGCGTGGTATGGTTTAGCCGATCACTACTCCGGACTGGCTTGATAGTATTAGTTAATACATGTGATTTATACAAGAAATATTATATCAATACTTTATTATTTATAAGCCTAGAATACATAAAATTGTGACCGCTACATGATCCACTTTCTGATTCGCTAGAGCCCAGTATCCTCGGGATCTTTTTCCAACACTTCCTGAAGGTATACGATAACATGAATAGGACCGGATAAGGAGGGTTTTTTTTAAGTTCTTCTATATCTTCCACGGAAAAATAATAAGTAAACTTATTGGGAGGCTCCATCAATTCCCCTTGTCTTTTTTCGGTAGTATTCACCAAAGCATGATTGATTTTCTTACATATAGATCGAAGTTTTTTTGATTTAAGTCTCGCCGGACATTTCTGATTTCGACTCCCAGATTTTCAACAGTTGTATTATTATCAATCACTATAGGGAAAATATCTTCTTCAGCCTCGCCATGAACAAAGCAGACGAGACGAATATTACTAGTAGTGAAGACATCTTGTTTTTCTCATAGTGAGAAAAAACTCGCACCATACATACACAACTTCTAGCACATACATACCTTAAATTTTTTGCGGGAAAGTTGGTTGAACTTCCACATACTCCTACATGCTTTATATCTTGCTAGGAAAAAGTTTAGGAGATATGAGGCATGATTAGTATTGTCGTCTGATGCCAAGAGTTCCATGAAAGCACATGTAAACGGAATAGTTCCATATGAGTTATGCATAATGATAAGCCTTGTAAGGTATTATAGTACAGATAAATTTATATGTATGTGAAATTTATTCTAACATGTTATCACATCCACACCACTTATATATTCCATTCGCTACTTTTTTTGCATGTTTTGCAATATAGGTGTGAATGGTGATTGCATTCGTCACAAACCTTACACCCATGCTTCCACTCTTTAAAGATATGCCACTTTTCGATATAATTTCGACTTCTTTTATTTGTATTATTCCACATTTGTATATTAATAGAAAAAATAATATACATGTAGTTATTTTTTTTTATACAAACCTGTAATTAGTGTACTTGCATTTATGCTCTATCTTGTTATAAGCCTCATAAGGCAGGAGAATTTTATGAGGAAAAAAAGGTAAGCCATTAAGCAGTAATATTTATAGGAGTACATGAGTTTAAAAATAATTGATAAGCGTATACATTGACTTTATTTATAGAAATGATAAGCATGTTTAGATAATGTTAAAAGATGGAAAAACTTCGGCAAGTGTGACCAGGTGGTCACAGTTGAGTAAAAATTTGATATTCATCAAAATCAGAAAATTTTCGGTAGCTGTGACCCACACTTGAATAAAATTTGACGTAGTAAATTTCATTGGCTCGCTTTTAAAACCTTAGCTTTTACATAATCAATATTATCCATGCCCAGTCTCAAAATAGTTGACACAGAAAAAGACTTAATACAATATATCTTTCCTTCTCTTCCAACCTCATCAAAGAGTTTAAAGATTTTTATTGCCTTTTCCTTCCTTTTTCTAAGATTAGTTTCTGAAACTTTGTCCTGGTCTGGAAAGTGCTCCCGAATTTTATCATTAACTAAAGAATTGGACATATCCTCACTATATGTTTTTTTATAATGGTCAAACCATAACCTATACCCTTTTCCAAAATAATAATATACATGAATCATTTCTAGAATAGTTTTTTTATTACCATCTTCGGCATTGATAATCTTATTTTCTAGTTCACGAAAATTAACTGAGTTAATATCTATATCAGAGAATGTCTGTAGAGAAATAATACTACCAGAAGAGCTTTGCTGTGGAATTGGAACAGACAATTCCTTGATAAGCTTTTTCAAAATGAACAAATCTTCTCTTCTAACTGCTTTCTTTGCCTTCTTCTTGGGTGAAGATGAGTTGACGTCTATACCTTCATTGGAACATTTTTTATTACTGGTATCAGGTTGTTCTTCACCATCAACACTCATTTCTTCTTCCTCTTCCGGTTCCATATTAGTTGATGGACATATAGGACATAGTTTTTGTGGATTATCGATACAATTGTAATGGATGATATGTTTGCAGGTTAAGTATATGAGTGGTTTCAAGGGGCCTTGAAGTTGAAGGGAGAACCAAAGAAAGCCTATAAGTAGGAGACATGAAGAAAAATCTTCAGAACATTTGGCACATCTCAAATTACTTTTGACTTGTTGAGTTGCTGTATCCTCGATCCCTTCCATCCATATAGGTAGTATCCGTATAGGTGGTGAAGATAGGACAAATGTTTTGCCTATCAAAGGTGAAATTTCAGTTGATTGGGAGGCCTTCTTGGGATTAGTTAATGGCAAATTGGAAACAGTGCCAAGGGGATTGGCTTGATCTAATATTTCTACATTCTTTCCATAATTTAGGAATAGACATGTGTTTGGAACAATAAGTAAAAGTTTTTTTTCGATACAGAGTCTATGAAAAAAGTGTCTGCATGCTAGGTATGTGAATGCTTTGAGAGGAGATATTAAAATATCATTGTCACATTCGGAGCATGGCCCTAGTTCTGTAATTTTTTTACCCTTAATAATGCCATCCTTGAAGGTTTTAAGAATATTATATACGAGATTTTTGATGTTATTAATAGGAGCAGTTGATGTGAAAGTAGAGGTAGACATATTCAAGAGTAAAATTTATGTGATTAGATTTGTATGCGTTAATATAAAGTATAACCAGATAAGTATTTCACAATTTTTTTTTATACTTAGCTCATTTTTATACATTAAACACCCTCATGATTAAAAAAATTAGTTTGTGGATTTTATGAAATCTTATTTCGAATTTGGCGATCTGTTCATTCACGAATTATTTAGTATGGGCCAGGATTACTTGATCTTCGCTAGCAATCATGGATAAATAATTTAGCTTAAGGGTAGACCCAAAGATTCATTGCTCTGCAATAAGTGCGATTAGTAAGTTGGTTAGTACTGAAATACTTCTATGCTGATCTCCGATTCATGGATTTAAAACACATGACATCACTCCCTTGAGGCTCATTATAATGTGATATGATTTACTTCACTTTGTGGCTATATATAAGATTATCAAGCTCGATAATTAACTTTACCTCTTACTTTACGCTTTCGAATAGGGCATTTCTTTACTGCTCTAGTCTTATGTGCATGTGTAACTTCTATTTCTGAACTAGATGTGGAAGAATTACTTGAATTGTTGTCTGAAGTGTCTGAATTAGAAGAAGCATCTGTGGAATATTTGACATTATTTTTCTTACTTTTATTTTTGGAAACATTATCATTTAATCTTCTGGATAGTAGATGTGTAGAAGGTATGTTGCAAAGCAATGACCCTTTGGGTCTATCTCCAATATTTAAGAGAATTTTGTTAATTACATTCATAACCTTCTCTTGAGCTAGACCAGGTTTAGATTCTGTTGATTTAGATAAATTATTTTTAGTAGAGCTGACTTTGTTAAAATCTTCTTCAAATAACGGGATGCTCATACCATCTATTACAATTTTAGCATGGCAGACATGGGTTTTGGGAGAATGTTCAAAGCTTATTTTTGCTTCATGCATCTATAACTAATCTTGCCCCAACACCAGATCGAATAATGGATTTTTGTGAATTTGAAAGTCTATTAGTTCAGTATCACCTAAACTTTGCCACTTTCTTTTAATACGAAACTGTAAATCTAAACCTTTTATTTCTTCACCTATCAGATCATCACCAACTATACCTTCTAATCTGTGATCAGATTTAAGCTTATTGAATAAGTGTTTGCTAATAGTATTATATTTAGATATTGTATCAATTAACACTTTTACTGTGATTTTTTCTTTTACGAGTGTATTGATGAATATGTTAAATATGTTTAATGATGTATATTATAACCAAAAAATAATATTTATTCTGAATTTTATTATGTATTAATATAATAAATAATAGCAAAGCTAGTACCAGAGTACATATTATGATATGATATTGACAATGAATAAAACTACATTAGAAAATAATCATAAATCTCGAAATGGTAATAGTGTGATATCTCGTATTATTAAACAAATGTCAAATAAAAAAATTCAGATCTCTTTTCATCAATTACTAAAAATAGTGAAACCCGAGATTTGGCAGGATATTATAAACTCAATAGCAAACCCAGATATTTCTAGAAGAAATCATACACTATGCAAGACTAAAAGGAAAAAGAGATTTTTTAATGATACCACATCTGGGTCTGATTCTGAATCATCCAGCTATGAAATAAATATCCCCAGCAACGATGATAAAGATTTTACTGTAAATGTGATGAAAACCAAGAAGCATGATTAGTAATTATATAAGTTTATAATATTTGATATCTTAGTATTTTCTTTCTTATGTACTGGAATAACTGGCTTATCATTTATTACACCATAATGCTCGACTGATGAAGCATGACCTATTTTATGCCTACATGCCAATTGTCATAAATATTGATAGCAGGAATCATTTCTACCTCCATGTAATCTGGAAGCGTGATCAGCCCCTATTTTTCTTAATATAAATGAGGTAATTCTATGGACTTGGTTTGCATATATAACTTTACTTAAAAAATATCTAATAAGTCTAATTATTGTAAAGCAGGTCCAAAGCGGTAAAGCTGAGTTATAGTGAATGAATAAATAAGTTATGAAGTAATTTATATACTCCCATATAAGTCATAGATATTCTCAATTTCAGAAGTATTCTCATTAATTACCTTGAGTTTGGAAGCTAGGGTTTCAGGTTCAGGTTCTGGATCTGCGTCAAGGTCAGAATCGGAAGTATCACCCTCGGCATAATATATTTCAGAATTATGACGATCCATCTTATGCCTTATTGCAACTCTGCTAAGGAATTCAAGATGTTGCGAAGTTGGATTTTGACCATCATGAACTCTAGAAACATGTTTTCCTTCAATTTTTCTAAATCTTTTGGCTGTAATACTATATGATTTTAAAAATTTACTAAATACTCCTGTATTACATTTTCCATTAATACTATAAACAGGATTGTATAACTTTCTAGTTGTTATTGAATCTTGGATCCAGGTAAGCAATTCTTTTGCACATTCTGGATTCTTTTCCATAGATAGAAATTGCTGAGGTTCAGGATTATTTTTTGCTTCTTCTTTATTTTTAATATACCTGATACAATATCAAGAATAACTAGGCTTGTACCATTTAGGAGGATTTGATTCACCAGGTTCATAATAGATAATACGAAGAGTGTCAACTTCGACAGGTCTCATACTCAATATTATAATTACATCTGCAAGATCTTGCATAGTAGGGATTTTAGTAGTATTGATATTTTGAATTCTTCTAAGTCCTTCTTCTAAGAAAAAGTGTTTGGGAGTTTTAGGTAGATTGGGTAATCGCTGTTTGAGTTGCCTCTTTTGAATTTTGTTAGAAGCTCAAGTAATTTCTGGTAATTTGGTATATATATAAATTTCCTTGGAACCAACTCCAGCTTCTGCTAACTCTTTACGAAATTGTAAAACACGAGAACTGGCTGCCACAATTGCTTCATCTGTATTATTTTTTGGCACAGCTAAGTCTAAAGCATGTAACCAAATATCCCACATATCTTTAGTTTTTGCACAATATTGAGCTCTTTTCTTGATAGTAAGCTTTTTCTTTTTGTTGTTTGGAACCAGAGCTCCTATTTGATTTTCTTTGAATAAGTGCCAACGGTGAGCCTTTTTCACATCTTTACAAGCCTTCCAATCTGGTAACATAGTACTAAGCTCATTGGTATGAGCACGTAATTGAAGCAGATTTGATTCGGCCAATAGGTTATATTTATTGAGAACCTGATCCAAAATGGAGGTAAAGCTATTAGTTTTGGGTTTTCTAGTTTTTTGAACAGTTGCCATGATAGATATATAAATAATCTATATCGATAAGTAGAATGTGATTATACATTAACCTACTTATTTTTTTTTCAATTCGAAATTAATTATCATGAGTCGATATATATACCCAAAATTGAATGGATTGCTGTTTGCGTAATCTTATCAGAAAATGGATACGAACAAGACACAAGTTCGATCAGGCACAAAGTGTTATTTCTCCCAAAATAAAGTCTTGGAATCTGTAGCTTTACACAATAAAATTACTAAAAATATAGAAAGCATCAAAGAGGATATAATATTACTTAGGCACATAAGTGTCATTTTTTCAAAATAAGAGGTCTTGAAAAAAATAATCAATATATACATATGTCAGGTATCTGATTAGACTTCGTGCATATAATTAGGGAAGTCAGATATATAATTCTTAAACCTGGTAATTTGTCCACATAACTCATCCTGCTTTTTTCTGTCATAATTCTCTTTACTTTTATATTTTCCCACGTGTTTATTGCATGCATTATATTTAGACCTATTTAGCTCATCACAATCTCTACAAGAAGTAGGTATTGGAGAATTACGATGAATATAACATCTTTCTGATTTACTATGTCAACCACAGATTTCTCCAGTTCTATGAATATATGAGCAATGGTATAATATCATCATGATTATATATAATAATTACTTCAATCAAATATATAATTTTTTGGCGTCCGGCTAAAATTTCTGGAATAATTAATTTTATTTTAAAGATTTATCTACCAATTAATATAGTTTCAATAACATATACTTTTTGTCAGATCAAACAATGCATATATACAAATCAATCAAATGAGTTTGTCTAGTGAAGCAAAAAAATGTTTATGTGAATCATTACATTAACAGCATCTAAATCAAAAATTGGCCGAATATAATGAAGCAAAAAGCTTTTCATAGGTTTAACAGATCTTAACTATAAACCTGGCCATAGAAATCATACGTATTATAAATATTTGCTTCCATCCGATAATAAAAATGATATCGCACTTTTAGAAGCATACCATCCTGAAAAGATTTATTTTCAACATATTATCCAGATAGGAGAAAAGGGCTTTACATTAGTTAAACATCCTTCTGAAGTTTATAAAATACTTGATTCCTATAAGTGTATTGACGGAAATCAACCTCTTTGCCCAATACTTGATATTGATGCCAGACAGAAACCCGATCCTACCAATTCTGAACTACCTTCTTTAGATAGTGAAAAAATTTCTTGTGAAGATTTAATGTCTAAAATATTGATTGCTTATATAGATGCATTAAGTCTTATACCAGAATGTATGCCTTTCTTGCAATCTTTTGTATTAGCAAGTTCATCAAATGCTAATAAATGCAGTTGGCATATTGTTTATTCTCATGCCCGATTTATTGACTATAGAGAACTTAAAAGCTTTACGAAAAAAGTTATAAAATTAGTAGGAGAGCCATATTCTAAATTCATTGATGTTGGCCTTCCCAAATCATGGTTTAATCTTCGATTACTTGGATCAGCAAAAGAGAATAGAGTTAAAAGACCAGCCATTTCATCAGTTAAGAATAGATTCAAAAATCTAGAAGACTATTTAGTTCAACCAAAATCTGATTATTCCATGATCTGGCCACGAACCTTTTCTGATGAGAAGCCAGCAGAAGAGGAATTTAAATCTATTGATGATGATGATGCTTTGGTTAAAAGAGCTAATTTAGTTATTAAAAAATATGGGTGACTCCAGATTGGAAGAGCCAAGAAAGGGTTCATCAACTTTCAAGCACAATCTGTTAAAGAATGCCCTATATGTGATGTTAAACATGAAAAAGATCAACTCTACAGATTTATTCGAAAAAATAGACATTTTATACTCAAGTGCTATTGGCAAAAACAATATAAACCAGATCACAAAGGGCTTAGTTTCGATAAGGTATCAGATAAAGTCGAATTAGAAGTAAAACTCAAGAAGTGGGGATTAATTGAAAGATTGCCCAAGGCTGTAAAACATCCATGCCCACTCGTAGAATTATTTGGAAATAATATTAATGTTAAAGAAATGGAGAATGCCTCAGAAGCTTATTCAGATTTCATGAGTGAGGAACTTACTACAACCCTAATTCACTTACCCGTTGCTAGTGAAAAAACAAAAACCTTAAGAGAGGTTCTTAATTCTTTAGCTAAAAGTGAAGCAAGTTTACCTTGTTTTAACTGGGTTTCATATCGTAAAACTCTTAGTAATGAAACTAAAAGTAAAATCGAAGTATTACAGAAATCTGGGCTTCACGTGTGCCATTATCAGGAAAATGAAGGTAATTTAACTATACGTGACTGGGATGTTATTATTGTTCAGGTTGAAAGTACACATCGTCTTAATTTTCATGGGGGTCATTCTTATGTAGTTATTTTAGATGAAGCAAATAGTATTATGCGTCAAATGACAAGTAGAATTCATGCATGAGAATCTGAAAATGCCATGCAGGATTTGTTAAAGTTGGCTGTTCATGTGGTTGCCATGGATGCTTTTGCAAATGAGTCAACTTTAGCCTTCTTAAGACAATACTGGGATGAAAACATCTGAGTTTTTGATAATAAGTATCAGCCGCATAAAAGTGAGACTGTAAAAATCCTTTATAATTCAAATAAAGGTTCAAAAGCTATACGTAAAGGTCTTGAGATGCTTAAAAAAGGTAAGCGTGTTGTCTTTTCAATGACCTCCTGCAAAAAGGCTCGGGTAATAGCTAATCAAGCATCTAAGTTGCAAAAACCAGACGGTTCATGTGTTTTATCATGAGTTTATTTTAGTCAAATAGATAGAAAACAACGCCAGAATGACTTTGCTGATATTAATGCTACCTGGAGTGGCCTCGATTGTGTAATCTATACAAGTACTGTGGAGTTAGGCATCTTGTTCGAAATTTCTAACTATTTTGATGCAGTTATAGCAATTAGTAATATTAAAACAGAAGTACACGCTAAAGCATTTACTCAGATGCTTTATCGAACTCGCGATTGCCCATATCGTATTGTTTCTCTTTACAATAGTAAAACACATTCTGAGATTTTTAAAAAACCAAATCATGACCTTATTCGTACAGAACTTTCGGTCTTAAGACCTGAAGATTTACCAACTGCAATAAAGGGGCATCGTAAATGGAACAAAATTGCTGACTGTTATATACTTGATTCATCTCCAGCAGTAGAAACTTATATTGAGGTTGAGTATCAGAGATGCTTATCTGCCAAATATTTTCCAAAAATTCTTTGTAGTTTGATTGCTAGTACTGGTACATAGCTAGAATTAATTGCAGTAGAAGATACCAAATTAGCCAAAGCTTCTCGTACAGAAATATTTTATACTATTAAGAATACTGAAGAAAGGATCAAAAGTTCTGATGCAGAATTAATAGTCAATGCTCCAGATATCAATCCTAATGAAGCTGAAATGCTTAAGCTAAATCCTGAACATTCTTTTGCTGATAACATGATCCTGCAACGACATTATTTATGGAGAATATATGCTTCAGGCGATATTGGAGATAAGGGTAATATTCGAAACTGGGGTATGAATAACAATAATTAGGTTAAGCTTTGTGATATAGATTTCATGAAAAGATATAATAATCCTGAACCTTTACAACATTTTAGAAGGCTGGCATATTTCAGAAGGCAAGGTTCTAATGCAATAAATTCTATAGAAAATCTAAAAATCAAAAAAGAAATGCAATGA